ATACGAGAGTAATATAAGAAAAAGTGATTAACTTTAAAATGATTAAATTTGGAGATTATATTATAATTAGTCGGTCAAATTCGCAAAATTATGTTACCAAGCAACTTGATAACTTACAAACAACTTGATAAATTATGTTTGGTACTTTTTCAAATTATTCAGATATTATAAAATTTAATAATTTTTTTTTCTAAAAACTATTAACAAAAATAATTGAAAAAGAGAAACAGATAATGGTTTACAAATAACAAATGTCAAGGAGTACACCTTTAAGTAGACATCTAAAATTCTCTAGTTTTGAAATAGGCATTGTTAATCAGACATGGCTAGTAGTAAAAAAGAGAGTGATCCGGGAAAGGCTCATTGGTTGCTATGTCATTTTTGTAAATTCGTTTCCAAGACACAAGCATTACCTACAGTCTAAAAATGACACTTATTTTTTTTTGTAATATGCATGTTTTACAACTTATTTGAGCCTAATAGTATTGGTTTTTAGCTTATTTATTAGTTATAATTACTAATTAGATGAAGGTAAAAGTAGTATTAATTTTTTAATAAACACTAACTCACTAACTGTCTGTAGGTGTGTCTTAACTTCTAAGGAAAGCAACTGTTAGTATATTGTTCCTCATTATTTCACATTCTACAGGGTAAAAAAATTATAAATTAATAAATCATACTTCTTTTTTCATACTAAGAATCTGACACACAGAACTTGTTGTATAGGTTTTGGTGAAATGAGAAACTAGAAAGAGAGATTGATGTATGATGAGAAACTAGAGGAGAAAAGAGTCTTGATGAGTCTGATAAAACAATAAGCGAATCATAGCTTTTGGTTAGGAGATATAGTTTGTCTTTTCTACTTCTTTTATATCAAAATCAAATAAATTTGCCAAAGAGAATAGATTTTGAATTTTGTCAAACTTTGGAAGGGAAGGATAGCATAGGAAGGATAGAAAGAATGATAGCGTTCTCTCTCACGGGAATGATAGCTTTATGGAAGGAAATGATTTTTTACAGAAGGGTAGGATAGTTTCTCTTTCCTGGATAGCTTTTCTCATAATAAACAATTGTAGGGTAAAATTGTTTAAAGCATCTTCCAAATTGTTTGTCAGGAAAAACAAGTAGTGAATGTCCTTGTCTTTATCTGTTTAATAGAAATGGTAGTAAGGTTTTAAGGGATGTGTAAGATTTCTTTTAGATTATTTTTATTATTATATTAATCTTGTTAGGCTATAAATATTAAATGTGGTCAACTCTTTATTGTAAGTCAAGTTAAGTTGTAACCGTCTATTCCTTTAAATAAAGGACTTAAGCTTTTAACCGTATAATACTTGGCCTTATTTTTTCTTCTTACAATTTTTATTAGTCCATTATGTGAACGATAACTTACCTTTAATATTGCATACAGTTAGATCAATTAAATTCCAACAATTGGTAGACTTGATTCTTAGATACATTATAAAGATTCTTATAACCTTTTTTTATTTTTTTTTTTTATTTTTATGGTTTCTACCAAGTCTAAAGGTAATGTAGCATTACAAAACCAAGCTGATTACACTAATCAAGTGACTAATCACCATCATCCAATATGTCTATAACATAGTGCATTTCTGGATGTTCGAAAGATAAATTAATATCTGATTTATCTAACAAACCAGTTTTATGTTTCACCAAAGATAAAAACTATGTATTCTTTACATCCGCCGAAAATCAATTTCCATAACTATTAATGAAATACCTAGCATGTATTCTTTGTTGATAATCAACAATTTCCTACTTCCCACCCGGTGCAAGTAACAATGAAATATTCACTAGAACTCATACTTTTTTAGTCAAAATGTATGAAATTTAACCGAAAAAACACTAAAGTTGCGGTCAATAGAGCTCATACCATGTATTTTATATAAAATTTAGTTAAACTGTATGAAATCATTATCAAAATGTACAAAATTACAGGTATGTAAGAGCAAATAGTAGCTGGCTCTATGCCATCTTTAGATTTAACTATTCAACAACTTGATTTTTTTTTATACATATACATTATTGGGCCAAAACTGGTTCAAAATTGCAACTCACCTACTAAAATCGCTGGTGGAAGGGTGAAATGACTGAAGACCTTAATCATATTTGATTTTGATTATTTTGATTAGGGATGAGCTGTTTGTACCAAATTTTGATCCTTTATCTAGTACCCGTAGTACCCGTATTCGTATCTGCACCCATACCCGTACTGAACCGAACCGAACCGTACCAAATTTAAAAATATGGGAAGGTGTTCGGTACTCTAAAATCACGAAATTTTGGAAACGTTAATTTGGTACGGTACTCAGGATTGAATTTCGATCAAATTTGTTATTCGGGAAATCGGGAATGGTACAGGTTCCGTCCCACGCTGGTGTTGTTTGTATTTTGTTGTTACTTTATTTGTTTTTGTATTGATTGGTATTGCTCATGTCATTTAAGTTTATATTTGTTAATTTACTATGTAGGTCATCATGGATCGAATTTGTGAAAGAGAAGAAGGAAGAACTTAAGTTGTAACATGAAGAAATGAAGCAAGAGCTTTTGGCCGAACGTCCATAAACGGAGGCACAAAAACAAGAAGTTACGAAGATGTATGAAGACATACTAAAAGCTCGCCCAAGAAAATAACCCTAATTAGCCATTGGTACTTTTAACTTTTGTGACTTGGTTTCGAGACTTTGTAATCGAGTATGAATATTTATTTGGTAGTCGAATTTTAATGATTTGAAATCAAATATTAATGTTCATTTGGTAGTCGAATTTATTGTTTTGAAATCGAATATGAATGTCTTATTTAGCTTTGTAACATAAAATTTGATTTTGATTATGGAATAATGACAAATAATCATATAAACAATTTAACGACGGATCAGAACAGTGCCATGAACTTTTTGCGACATAATATTTGGTCACTAAACTATCGTTATTATCTCCTCAGCGACGGATTTGTGACATACATTAGTTTTTTCAAGAACATTTTGCGACAAGATATTCAGTCGCTAACAAAAAAATTTCCGTACTTGATTCTGTCGCTAACGTTCAGCGACAAAGGTTTTACTGGCTAGCTTATTTCGTTGCTAATCGGCCACTCAAGGTCTTTAGCGACGGATTTCCAACGGATATTTATGTTGCTGAAGCTTATATTTCTAGTAGTTATATGAGATGTGGTCAACCACTTATTGTAAGTTAAGTCAAGTTGTAATAACTTTAAATAAAAGACTTAAGCTTCTAACTGTGTAATACTTGGCCTTATTAGCCCGTACTGTGAACGATAATTTGCCTTTTAATATTGCAAACAATTAGATCACTTAAATTCCAACAATTGGTAGATTGATTATTTGATACATTATAAATATGCTTATAAAAATTTCATTTTTATGGTTTCTACCAAGTCTAAGGGTAATGTAGCATTACAAAACCAAGCTGATTACACTGATCAAGTGACTAATCACCATCATCCAATATGTCTATAACGTACTGCATTTCAGGATGTTCGAAAGATAAATTAATATCTGATTTATCTAACAAACTAGTTTTATGTTTTACCAAATACAAAAATTATGTATTGTTTATATCTGCCAAAAGTCAATTTCCGTAATTGTTAATGAAATGCCCAACATATCTTAGTTGATAATCAACAATTTCCTACTTCTCACCCAGTGCAAGTCACAACGAAATATTCATTAGAACTCATACTTTTTTAGTCAAAATGTATGAAATATAACTGAAAAACACTAAAATTACGTCAATAGAACATATATTGTGTATTTTATATAAAATTTATGTAATCATTATCAAAATGTACAAAATTGCAGGTATGTACACTACTAGAAAGTTGACATTTAGCGACGGAATCAGCTACGAATTATATCCGTAGCTAATCAACGACGACTTACCAAGGGATCAACGATGGAATGCATTAATATTTCAACTAACATACTTATATAATTTTAGAGAGGTGTTAACGAGGGATCATTGACTGATTGCTAAGAATTTCTCGACAAAAACAATTCATAGTTAATCCATCTCAAATTAAAACCTCTTAGCGAGGGAATAATGATGGATTGCTAAAAATCACCCTTGCAAATCGCTCGCAGAAAATTGACGCCTCATTTTTTCATTCCCCGCTTTTTTTCTTTTCTCGTTCCCTCGTTTTATTTTCATTCCCCCGATTTCTTTCCCAAATCCCTAATTGACCATATGTCAACTCAAATCCCTCTCACATCCTCTTTGGCTTCCCTATTGATTCGTCTCTATTCCTCATTGACTCATCGTATCCCTGCCAACGCCGTTCAATCCTCTATTGTCTCTTCAGATGTCCTAGTATAACTGCTCAACAATCTCCACATCTATCATAAACCCAAGAAAATTAATCTGAAGTAGTCTTCATCAAATTCCAATTCTGGTTTCAAGTAGTGTGTAAGCTCCATTTCCATGTAGCTCTCTTACTTCTCCTTCATTTCTAGCTCAAATCACGACTCGTTTTTATAAGCTCTACCTTCCTTAACTCCTTAATTTTGGTTTTCCTAGGGTTTTCTCGTTGTTTATATACATATATATTTTGTTTTTCCTATAACAATTTAAAACCTTTTATTTCCGGATGAGTTTGTATGAGTTTTTTTTAATGTTTAGTCAATGAGAATTTTTCATATTCATTATCATCTTAACTCTAATTTCTACTTTCTGATAATCGAAATATTTTGGATTATAATTATTTTCAATTTTGCTGCACTCTCGATTTCTTCATCTTTCTCCAACCGAAGAGGAAGGAGAGTTGACTCTCAAATCCGTTCGACTCACGTTGCCGATCATGGCAGCTAGTACTATTTCAATTCGAAGTCTTCTACTTTGGATTTTCAAAATACGAAGTGAACTTTAATCACAAGAAGGAAACAAGACCTATTCGCTGTTCTTTTTAATAAACATTTTCATCATATAATCGATGATTTGGGGCACCATTTCAGTATTTGGAGATGTACAACAAATCAATTGAAGATCCTGGTGGTTTTGGGTATGATATTTCATCAGAATTCTATTGGAAAGAGAAATGGGGTCAACAGGTTTACTTAGAGAATCTTGATGTTATAAAAGGGAGCATCAAAATTGAGGTAAACAATACTTTTATCTTTCGGACATCTGTCTCTTTCATCATGTATCATACACCTAATCAGCCATTGGTCATTCCTATCTATCTACTCAGTGGTTCAAGGGTGGCATCACCAACATCTATTATAACTGCTTGGATAAAAACATAGTCTGGGAATGGCGATAAAGTTACACTTCATTGTGAAAGAAATGAGCCTGATGTTGATGGCTCATTAACTTACATACAACTGTTTGAAAGCGTCTGCCATGTATGATGATTTTACATACTCTCATATTGAGTGTACATATTAATTATCAAATGGGTTATGATCACAAAATATCAACTTAGTTACTAGAGCAACCATAATAGTAGCTTTTTAAAAGCTTTTGCAAACCAAAAAGCTCTTGAGAAATGAAAAAACTATTGGATAACTTTTTCAAAGAACTTGTTAATTAACAAGCTCTTGCAATGAGCTTTTTTTAATGATTGTGTAGTTCCCATATTGTGCATTCTAGTCATTACACTTACATGTCACATAAACGCCATGTCATCAAAACTTACTTGTATACCTGTTAACGAGTGACCTGTTGTGTTCCAGCCTCCAAAGCTACAGTAGCCATCATTGTTGACAAAATGAAACCTACGGGACAAGTTTTTCTTCCCACCCTATGATGAACACAATTAATAGACGCAACTACAATGGTGGCTGCCAAGACTATAAATAGAGACTTCATTCTTCAGTTGTATGTATCCCAAATACAGAGACACAAATAGTATAACACTTAGAGTGAGAGTGTTAGTGAGAGGGTTGGTTTTTTGTAATAGTTGAGTGTGAGAGTTGCTCCTCCTATTGTAATTCTATTTTCGTGTTTAATAGAAGAGTTTTCCAACCCCAACAACTGGTATCAGAGCCCCGTTCGGTGTCCAGGGAATTATTTACGAATTTCTCTGTTTTTTCGTCAAATTTTTTTTGTCTCAAAATCCGTTTTTGAGTACACCGTTGGAAAGGGCTTGTTTCAAGGATTCCGAAAATATATTTTTCGTAATTTTTTGACCATCAGAAGGCCCTCAAATCGTTGGTCAAAGTTGGTCAAATATGGCCGAAAAAGTCGCCGGAAAAACCAGGTGGCCGGAGAAGACTGCCGGGGAAGAAGGAGTGACGTCATCAGTGAGGTCATCATTGACCAGAATTTCAGGAAGTTGCAGTTTAGCCCCTGAAGTTCCAGAAAATTGCAGAAAGGTCCCTCTGTTTCTGAAAAACTGCAGTTCGGTCCCTGTTCTTCTAAAAACATCTGTTTTGGTCCCTGGAGTTCTGAAATGTTTCAGAAAAGTCCCTGGTTGGCAGAAATATTTCAGATTGGCCCCTGTAAGTTCCGAAAATTACAGTTTAGCCCCTATAGTTCTGAAAAGTTACAAATTAGCACATAACTTTTCAAGAAAGTATATTTTGAGCCCGAAAAATTCTACCCCACCATTTTTGACGCTTCCGAATCCAACCGAGAGCTCGGTTTTATCTAATTTTTCAACGAAATATTTGTAAAATAAATTTGCAATTATTTTCGATGGAATCTACAAGTACGATTACGATGGTTCGACTTACGCCCACAAATTACAACATGTAGAAGCCAAGGATGGAAGATTTGCTTAATCTGAAAGATTTAGCAGAGCCTATAGAAAAGCAAGGCGTCAAACCCAACACGAAGACAGACGAAGTTTGGACGAGAATAAACAGGAAAACGGTGGCACAAATTCGACAGTGGATCGACCACAGTGTTTTTCATCATGTCTCTCAAGAGACAGACGTGTACAAACTTTGGGAGAAGCTCGAGAATATGTATCAGGCAAAGACGACACGCAACAAGACCTTGCTGATGAGGCGCCTTGTAAACCACAAGTTACGAAGTGGTACGTCCATAACCGAGCATACGAGTCAGTTCCAGGATCTCGTAAACCAGTTCGGTGCTGCTGATTGGGTTCTCAAAGACGAGGAACAAGCCATATTGCTCTTGAGTTCTCTACCAGATAATTGGGAGACGCTTGTTGTGACTCTCAGCAATTCTGCCCCCGGTGGTAAAGTGACAATGGAGATGGTCACAGATCCCCTAATGAACGAGGAAGCCAGAAGGAAAGAAGCTGGTACAGACCAGTCTTTTGCCCTCGTGTCAGAAAACAAAGAAAGAGGCGGAGGCAGAACTGGAGGCCGAGGTCGAGGTAGAGGCAGAGGTAGACATGGTCAAAGTAGAGGAAGATCCCAAGATCGTGGGAAATCACGAGATCGAGGGAAATCGTGAGAGCGAGGTAAATCTTCAAATACATGGTTCGAAGGCTATTGCAATCATTGTAATTATTATGGCCACAAAAGGAGTGATTGCCGAAGGTTCTTACGAGAGCAGCCCGAGACAAGCCAGAATCCAAGCAGGGAGAATGGTGAAACCATGGTCACCATAACACAAGACGTTGCCCTTGTTACATACGAGGAGGAAGCATGCCTACATGTTGAAACTCATGATGATGAGTGGGTGATTGATAGCGCTGCATCATATCATTCGACTCCAAACCGGGATTTATTCAGTACTTATAAACCCGGAGACCATGGTACCGTGAAGATGGGAAACACCAGTTTCTCAAGCATTGCTGGTATTGGTGATGTGCATTTAAAGACCAATGTTGGATGTACATTGGTGTTGAAAGATGTTCGGCATGTCCCAGAGCTGAGAATGAATCTTATCTCAGTTGGAGCTCTTGACGTCCAAGGATATGATAATCAATTCAAAAATGGCACCTGGAAGTTGTTGAAAGGTGTTATGGTTGTTGCAAGGGGAAAACTTGATGGTACTCTTTATAAAAGTCATGCAAAGTTGCTTCAACCAACTCTCAATGTTGTTAAAGAAGAGACATCACCAAACTTGTGGCATAGAAGACTAGGCCACATGAGCGAGAAGGGATTGACGACTCTTGCAAAGAAGGAGTCCATTTCAATGGCAAAAGATGTTGCCTTGGATCCTTGTAAATACTGCCTATTCGGGAAACAACACAGAGTTTCCTTTAGCTCCACAAGAAAGAACCGCTCTGAGTTGCTGAGCCTTGTCCACTCCGACGTATGTGGACCCATTGAAGTAGAATCTCTTGGTGGAAGCCGGTATTTTGTGACATTCATTGACGATGCGTCACGAAAGGTATGGGCATACTGTTTGAGAACGAAGGACCAAGTATTGGACCGCTTCAAAGCTTTTCATGCAATGGTGGAAAGACAAACAGGCAAGAAGCTAAAATGTCTCCGATCAGATAATGGAGGCGAATACTATTCCCGTGAGTTCTCTAAATACTGCACGGAACATGGTATCAGACATGAAAAGACTGTCCCACGAACCCCACAACACAATGGTGTAGCAGAACGGATGAATCACACCATTGTTGAGAAAGTTCGATGCATGGTTAGCATGACTAAACTCCCAAAGCCATTCTGGGGTGAAGCTGTATTGACATCTTGCTATCTAATAAATAGGTCACCTTCCGCTCCATTGAATTTTGAAGTTCCGGAGAAGATATGGACGGGTAAAGACATATCATATTCTCACTTGAGAGTATTTGGGTGCAAAGCGTTTGCACATGTATCAAGTGAATTGTGGAAGAAATTGGACCTCAAATCCACTCCATGCATCTTTATTGGATATGGAGATGAAGAGTTCGGGTACAGGCTATGGGACCCAGAACTAAATAAGGTTATTCGAAGCAGAGATGTGGTTTTTTATGAAAACCAGTATTATGATTTCAAGGCACCAGTTAACAAGCAACAAAGCTCCAAAGTTTCAGATATAATATCTAAAAATAAAGATGATGTTTCCACTGAAGAAGTGGATGAAGAAGTCGATGATGCAGATCAAGAAGGTGTTGAGCCGGGGGAGCTTCCACCCCTGGATAATTCAGATCCACTGCCAGAAGTTGCAAACGAAGGAACTCAAGTTAGACGATCCGAACGAGTACGTGCTCCATCAACAAGATATCCGACTTCAAACTACATCCTTCTTACTAGTGAGGGGGAGCCAGAGAGTTTTCAAGAAGCTCAATCTCATATTGACAAAGCAAATTGGCAGAAGGCCATGGAAGAAGAAATGAATTCTTTGCAGAAGAATCAAACATATGAGTTGGTAAACCTCCCCAAAGGAAAGAAAGCCTTGAAAAATAAGTGGGTTTTCAAGTTGAAGAAAGACGGCAAGGGAAATACTATGAAGTATAAGGCGAGACTCATTGTCAAAGGTTTCCAACAAAAAGAAGGAATCGACTTTGATGAAATTTTTTCGCCAGTTGTGAAGATGATGTCTATTCGAGTTGTACTCGGATTAGTTGCCAGTCTAGATCTTGAACTTGAGCAGATGGATGTGAAAACAGCCTTTCTCCATGGTGATTTGGATGAAGAAATATACATGGAGCAACCTGATGGCTTTAAAGTCCCAAAGAAAGAGCATCTCGTCTGTAAATTAAAGAAGAGCCTTTATGGTCTTAAGCAAGCCCCAAGGCAGTGGTACAAGAAGTTTGATTCATTTATGATGAATCATGAGTACAAGAGAACTGTTGCAGACCATTGTGTCTATCTGAAGAAGTTTCCAGATGGGAAATTTGTCATCCTTTTGCTCTACGTGGATGATATGTTGATAGTGGGCCAAGATGCAATGATGATCAACAACTTGAAGAAGGATTTGTCTAAGTTCTTTGATATGAAAGACTTAGGCCAAGCACAACAGATATTGGGCATGAAAATTATCAGTGATAGAAAATCAAGAAAATTGTTCTTATCACAGGAAGAGTATGTTGAACGTGTGATCAAAAGGTTCAACATGGAAAACGCCAAGCCCGTTGGTACGCCCTTGGCTAACCACTTCAAGTTGAGTAAGAAAAATTGTCCATCTTCTGAGAAAGAAAAAGAAGAGATGAAGGCAGTCCCCTATTCCTCAGCCGTAGGAAGTCTTATGTATGCAATGGTGTGTACAAGACCAGATATTGCTCATGCTGTCGGTGTTGTGAGTAGATATCTAGCTAATCCGGGAAAACAATATTGGGAAGCAGTCAAATGGATACTTCGATACCTGAAGGGTAGTTCGAAACTATGTTTATGCTACGGGGGAGCAAAGCGAATCGTGGAAGGTTATACAGATGCCGATATGGCAGGAGATCTTGATAGTAGGAAATCTACATCAAGTTACATTTTTACTTTGGCAGGGGGAGCTATCTCGTGGCAATCCAAGTTACAGAAGTGTGTCGCACTGTCAACAACAGAAGCCGAGTATATTGCTGCCGTTGAAGTTGGGAAGGAGCTTATATGGATGAAACGGTTTCTTCAAGAATTAGGCTTTCCACAAGATGAGTACATCATTCATTGCGATAGTCAGAGTGCTATGGACCTGAGTAAGAACTCGATGTACCATTCCCGTACAAAACATATTGATATACGTTATCACTGGCTTAGAGAAGCAACTGAGGGACGAGAATTGAAGTTGTTAAAGATCAACACCAATAACAATCCTGCAGACATGTTGACAAAGGTGGTGACAGAAGAGAAACACAGACTATGTGCTGACATAGTTGGGATGAGGATTGTTGGACGGAGACTGGAGGGGGAGATTTGTTGTGTTCCAGCCTCCAAAGCTACAGTAGCCATCATTGTTGACAAAATGAAACCTACGGGACAAGTTTTTCTTCCCACCCTATGATGAACACAATTAATAGACGCAACTACAATGGTGACTGCCAAGACTATAAATAGAGACTTCATTCTTCAGTTGTATGTATCCCAAATACAGAGACACAAATAATATAACACTTAGAGTGAGAGTGTTAGTGAGAGGGTTGGTTTTTTGTAATAGTTGAGTGTGAGAGTTGCTCCTCCTATTGTAATTCTATTTTCGTGTTTAATAGAAGAGTTTTCTAACCCCAACATGACCTACTTGGAACATTCTTGTAAGTACAATGACTTAGTACGTATGAAAAAAGGTAGGAAAAATCAAAAAGTACATGACCTTAACTGTTATTAAATTGTTTTTTTTTTGTGATTTTATTCTTACATTTGGCAATCCATCTGACAGCTTGCAAATTTTTTGAAAGACAGTGGTGTTAAAAAGGGGGATATTGTAATTATTTACTTACCCATGCTCATGGAACTGCCAATCACAATGTTGGCTTGTGCTCGCATTGGTGTTGTCCACTCGGTAAAAGCCATTCAAATTATATAGTATTTACTATTATAATTTTATTTAACATTGACTTTGACTTTGATTTTCAGGTTGTTTTTGCTGGATACTCTGCAGAATCACTTCTTCAAAGAATTATGGATTGCAAACCAAAGATTGTGGTAACTTGCAATGCGGTTAAAAGAGGGAAAAAGTACTCAATCTCAAGGAGATTGTTGACGCTGCACTCTCATAATCATCTCAAAATGGAATATCTGTAGGTGAGAACTTTTGTTCTTATAGTAGATGTTTTCAGAAAGCATATGTATATTTATTTACCTCTTCATGACATTGATTTCTATGTTGCAAAATAGATTCATGCTTGACGTATGAAAATGAATCAGCCATGAAGAAGGAAGATACCAAATGACAAAAAGCAAGAGATATTTGGTGGCAGGTAGTACTACTAATACTATTTAATTTCACAGATATTATTATATGATCATGTTCATTAAACTTTAGGCCTTTTGGACTTTTTTTCCATTATACTTTTTTTGTAGGATGTTGTTCCTAAATACTCTACTACGTGTGATGTGGTGTGGATAGATGCAGAGGATCCACTTTTTCTTTTTTATACAAGTGGAAGCACCGGAAAGCCGAAGGTATTTAAGTTTGTTATAATCTTGAACTACTTTTCTCTTCTCATTTTTTAATGAATCATGCTGGTGCACGTGATAGGGTGTTTTGCATACCACAGTATGATACATGATATACACTGCAACAACGATCAAATATGCATTCGATTACAAAGAATCTGATATGGCATCTGCACTTTCCGGGGCAAATGGAATTGACTATACTGACCCTGAAGAGGTCAGCAGAAAATAGAAACCCAAATACAAATTTCATTTAAAAAAAATGAAAGCAGGAGGCTAACTCAATCTTTTGCACCTGGAGTTGTTGGTTACAACACTAACCGATCTTGATGCAATGGATGGTAAATAGAGCGTGTCTTTATTACAAAGTGTTCAAGTTCTCCTGATGTCAATACAAGGTACATCTTTTCATACAAAACGACTAAAACACGCCACTTCAATGAGGAGGGTATTTAGGTCATTTGTACAATCTGTTGTGTCATGTCTTGACAAATTGGGACATTATTGCAGAAAAGCATTGGCTAATGCTTTGTCAGCCGCACCATCGATGTGGACCCTTGGCAATGCAGGCATGGGAGCCTTATAGGCAACTGATTTTATTTTCATGAGGAAAGGGTATTTTGGACATTTTAGTTATGGGGGGTAGAGAATTGTGTGTTTATAAAATATTAGAGTTTAGGATAATGATAGCTTTGATGTCGGGTACTATTTAAGTTTTTTAAAATAATATTTCATGATATAAACTTTAAATAATGTGCATATTTTTTTGATTTCCAGAACTCTTGAGTGGTACCATACCAACTGTATTGATAAGGTTGGTTGGATGCGATCAAAAAAGGGCCAATGGCATCAGAGACCATGAAGGTTAGTTATGTAATTTCGATCCTAATTAAAAATTATGCATCCATTTTGATAAATGCTTAATGTGCAATTAGTTTTGGTATGTGGTAGATTGTCCATAATGGTCAATACAAATGTTCAAAGATCAAATCCCAAAAGAGAAATTTCTGAAGACCAGTATGCAAACACGGTATTTTCTTTCAAATGAGTAGACAATAATGTCCTTCATCAACAGAAAAGCATGCTTCCAACAAATACCATGTCTCCTTCCGTTGCAGGAAAAGTAAATAGAACTTTTGTTCGCCTAATTCCATGGAATTTAACGCGAATCAAAATCCAATTCCATTATGGTCCTTCTTTCGGATGCAATGCAAGATAGGAAGCAATGGAGAATATGTATATGGAAATGCAAAATGTGAGACGAAATTGAGATTATGGTACATTATACTTAGAAATAAATATCAATCAATATTAAACTTTGATATTTGATGATTTTGATCGTTTTGGTAAACATTGATATTTGATGTTTTTAGATGTTTTGTTAAACATTGATATTTGATTTTGGTATTTAATATTAGTGTGTGGTTTTAGATTGTATAATTATTTGATTTCTTTGGTATTAATTTGTTATTGTTTAGTTTGGGATTGTATAATTATTTGATGTTTTTAGTATTTTTTGTTTTAGACTTGTAATAAAAAAAATAATATTATATATTTGCAAGGGATCAGCGACGGAAAAAAAAATCACATCTAAAATTTGCTAGTGATCAGCGATGGAATATAAAAAGACAGATATAGAGGTTTGCAAGGGATTAGCGACGAAATATTTTTGTTGCTGATGTCCTAAATAACGGTATTAAGGGACCAATTTACGATGGATATTCCATTGCTAAATTCGTCCCAAAGAAAAACAAGCCCGTCGCTAAATCTCTAGCTAAGTCATTAGTCACGTTTTATGGGAAAATACCGGGTATAGACATTATTTGGGGTTGAATTTCAAAATATAAACACAATAAATTGAATTTCCGGGTATAGACATGGATTCCGCGGAGCTCTGCGGAATCCACTATAGCTCCGCGAAATGGCAAAATCGTAAATAGATGAGGAAATTAAAAAAAAAAAAACTCAAGATCTATTCCGCGGAGCTACAGTGGATTCTGCGGAGATAGCTCCTAGGAATGGATCTTCAGAAAAAAAAAAAAAAAAAAAAAAAAAAAAAAAAAAAAAACTCCTCAAATGATTCTTTTATGTAATGATTTCTAATTAAAAGACCAATTTTTTTCCAACTCACATTCATTCCAAATATTGTCAAGAAAAATTAATACTATCATAATCTTTTCTTGAAAATAATTAGTTGGGGGAATAAATATAAACCCCGAAAAATCGATTTGAAAAAAAAAAAATTGAAGATTCATTCCTCGGAGCTACCTCCGCGGAGCTCCGCGGAATCCACTGTAGCTCCGCGGAATGGATCTTGAGTTTTTTTTTTTTTTAATACACTAATTTATTTACGATTTTGCCATTCCGCGGAGCTCCGCGGAATGCATGTCTATACCCGGAAATGTTCATTTTCATGTCTAAATTTTGAACATACCCTACATTTTTTTTACTATTGTCGGTATTTTCCCACATTTTATTTGGCTATGGAGTAAGTCTGTTGCAGATCCGTTGCAATAGACCTTTAGTGACGGAATAGCGACGGATTCATCCGTCGCAAAAACCCATGTTTCTAGTAGTGGTAGGAGCAAATAGTAGGTGGCTCTATGGCCTATGCCATCTTCAGATTTAACTATTCAACATCTTGATTTTTTTTTATACATATACATTATTGTGCCAAAACTGGTTCAAACTTGCAGCTCACCTAATGAAAATCGCTGGTGGAAGGGTGAAATTGCAGAAGACCTTAATCATCTGCGATTTCAATAGCTAAATCTAATATTTTGTTAATTTTTGCCTAAAAGTTATAAAACTGTTAAAAAATCGACGATATTTATAATTTTCTAAAATTTTTGACCATGCCAAATTAAAGGCCTTGATCTCCTATCCTATTCTTGACGGCAAAAACCTTAGGGTTTCCGATGAATTATAACGCATAAGACATCTATGCTTTCGGTAAAAAATACTATACGAGTCAGAATAATTCTTCGCCAGTGACAACGACTGCCGACGGTCGTTCTCTTTTACTGTTCCGTTCTGTTTATTAGCTTCTCCGGTCGGTGGACGATTATACGACTGGCAAGTGGCCCCGTACGACGACAACATTATTTCTACTTCTCCGGTTAGTCGACTACTATGCAATTCTCCTTCCTTGTCCTTTTCTTTCACATTTTTTCAAAGTTTCTGTAATATTTATTTTGGACTATCTATCTCAAAAATATTGGAAGCTGTGATAGTTGTCGGAATACAGAGATAATTTATACCTTCATCTTTTCACCAAATTACTTTTAACTATTTTTAGAAATGTAGTAGTTCTAGCGTTTTTAGATTTCTACCTTCGACCTATACAGATTGTTGATAATGCCTTCTATTAATCGTTCTTTATATTCTTGGAGCACAGTTGGTAAATGATATCTCTTTTCGGTGCAAGTTTATATTTATAAAATTTTGATCAATCTTAACCCTTGATTTCCATAGCAATTATAAGCCAAACTGGTGTTGCACAATGCTTTGCTATAATTTTATGCAAATTCCTTGTTCCATTTATTGGTAGATCGACCACAAATGCATCCTGTTTTTGTGTTTCTTGCAATAGGAACTTTGATCTTCACGATTTGATTTGACAAGCCGTATCCGTTCATTTGATATATTTGTTACAGTATGTTTTCTTTTCAAATAAGTCAAATAAGTTAATATATTGCATATGGATCTTTAAGTTTTGATTTCTTTGTCTATGCTAATGGCTAATGCTAATGCTAAGATGCTTTTTGCATGAAAATCAAATGGATAAAACCCAAGATGTTCTCTAACCTGTTATTGTCTTATTTTCTTGACCATTTTTGGAAATGTTGTTGCTAGAAATGGCGGAGTTTACATCTTCAGAAAGTAGGAAAGGAAATTTGTTCAAAGAAATTGAAGAACTTACTGTTTCAAAACCAAAGCAGCAATGGCAGGTGGAGGGACCGATTAAGAATTGGGTGGAGCTCCCATATGATGTGATGGCTAATATTCTATACAGAATTGGACCTATTGATATACTTGAGAATGCTCAGAAAGTTTGCACCACTTGGTGTAAAATCTGCAAGGATCCTGCCATGTGGAGGGTCATTCATATGAAGAAAACTTTGGGACCATTTTGGCAGATATTGCCATGGGAAATATGCAGGTGTGCTTTGAATAGAAGTCAAGGCCAGTTGGTTGATATCAGCATAGTCGATGTTGTCAATGATGAGCTTCTTCAATATGTTGCTCATAGGTATGTGAGCTTATATTAGTTGGCGTTTTGTGCATTGTGCTTATAATAAAAGTTAAAGATGCTATGCATATATAGCTTCCTTATCCTCCCCTATTAATATTGGATTTTAGAATTAGCTAAATCCAATCCTAACTAGTCATGATTTTTTTACAAGTTTTGTATCTTTTTAACAGATCAAGTCAGCTCAAACGGCTTGAACTTGTAAGTCACTATCGTGATATACATTGGAACTGGACCAAAGCTTTGAAAAAATTTCCAATGTTGGAGGAACTCAATCTCTACAAAATAAAAATCTCAGAAGAAGCTATTGAAATTGCTGGCCGTTGTTGCCCCATGCTAAAAACACTTAAACTGAATCAAGAAAGTTGTATGTTTTGGCATGGACACATCAATGAGAAGTCATTAATGATCCGTAATAAGACAACTAAAGCTATATATTGGAGAAAACTTACATGAGTTAAGGCACCTTGAACTCATTGGAAACAAGATGACAAATATTGGGTTGCAGGCGATTCTAGATGGTTGTCCTCATCTTCAATCACTTGACTTGCGTCAGTGCATGTACATTGATCTCAAAGGAGACATGGGGAAAAGATGTTCCGAAAATATTAAATGTCTAAAGCTACCTGAAGATTCTCTTGAAGGATGTCTATACATTCAAATAAATGATATTGATTGCAGGATATGTGAAGATTATGATGATGATTACGCAGCAGGTATGGACTTTGAAGATTGGACCAACTATGATTATTAAAGAATGGATTTATTGACTTATCCTATTGTAGGTAAGTTATCCGCAGTTTTTTTTTTTTTTTTTTTTTTTTTTTTTTGTCAAAAGTCAAGTGAAAGAAAGCTTTTTCCATAAAAAAATTTCATTAATTGTCATTAGTTTCAATTGAATGATTTTCATTAAATTTATTGTAAATGTTGCATTTGAAGATACTAATCGCAGCTGAGTTGTTTATTTTTGAAGGTGTGGCAGTTTCCCCCAATAACTTCCTTTTTTGATGATCAGACAAGGTATTGACAACAAGGCCATCTCTATGCTGCACTTTTAAATGGTGCTGGATCATTTTCGTTTTTGTGCTCAAACATGGGCAAAGATTAATGATGTTATGATGTTTTGTTGGTTTATGAAATATTTTTTGGGTTACTGTATCTTAAATTATGTTTGAAAAACCCAATCTTGACTGGGAATTCTTAATTACCTTGACATATATGTGATCAACCGCTGATGTTTGTTTTCGTTTATGTTGACATGTATATTATAATTAATTACATGATTATCCTGAAGATTAAAATGCTAAAACAATAATTACAATCAACAATGTTAGTTTATAGAATGTTAAAATGCTATAAGAATAGTTCCAATCAATAATGTTAATTTATAGAATGTTTTTGGAACTATCTATATTTAGCAAAAAGTTTAGATTAGAAGAGATGGTAAGTGTCATAAAATAATCATAATTTTGTCTTTACTTGTAGGTAATGTAATGAGGTTTAAGGCTATTCTCTAATTGGAATAGGATGTATTTCAAATTGGCTTTTTTAAAAAACTTATGTTTTTTTTATTTCCAAAAGTATTTTCCAATTAAAAAGAAGATTTAAAAAAAATGTTTGTATTAGTTTTTAAACGTGCTAAAATGGCATAAGTGCAAAACTTAAATAAAACATGCGCCTTTAATGAGCCCAAAAGACGGCAAAGGGTAAAATCGATAATTTTTTGAAAACTTAAGAGCTTTTATAACATTAACCCAATTTAATTTATACATATAAAAAAAGGAAGATTGTATTTATTATTCATGTAAAACACAAATAAAAACTTAAAACAATAGTGGAGGCTTCAACGTATTTGTATATTTCTCAAACTATAACATTGGCTCAATTGAATTTTTGACATATTTCTCAGTATATTGATTGACTTAATTCATACCTGATAAATATGCTTATATTGATTGACTTAATTCATACCTGATAAATGCAACCAAGACTCCGGATCTACTGCCTTCTTCTTGAACCTCCAAGCCTTTCCTTCCTTCTCCAAGCTTCAAATCACTAAAATGGCACCAAATTAGCTCAAGAACACTCACAACTGATTAGGGTTTCGAGAATGGGGTCTAAGGGTGATGAAGGGTGGAGTGGAGGCCACTTAAGGTGTTTAAATATGGTGCAAACCCTCAAATTTAGGTTTTCATCCAGACAGGTCTACTCGTTGAGTCGGGGCTTCCGACTCGGCGAGTAAACTCTTCCACCCGCGTCCCAAAATTCACATCTACTCGATGAGTTTGGCCTCCGACTCGTCGAGTCCCAGTGTAAATATACATAAACTTAGATTAAAATACATACTGGGAACCGGGCGTTACACTGCAATTCTGTCAACTCATACTTACCTTAAAATTTCCCGAACAAAAATGCAATTTCTGTAAAAGCCCGAACTGACACTTTACTGAAATACCCCTTGGCTCCAAAGCACAAACCGAACTCTCAGATCATCTAAATTACATTACCCACACCCAAATGGGTCTAAATCTCTTTTCTTCAAAGGCCCTAAGCCTAATGATACTCGGTCTTTGGGTCACCACCCCGCATTAGGAAACGATTCGGAACAGGGCGTTACAGCAGAACAACTAGAAAAAGCCTCTTAAGTGAGGGAATCTAGTTGTGACCGGTGATCAGAAGGCCAACAAACAATATGTTTTTAGTCTGGATGGCCATGTACGGATGGTCGACCATGCGAAGCCTCTTTGAGGAAGGTGGGTTATGTAGGTAAACTAGAGAAAAGCCTCTTAAGTGAGGAAATCTAGTTGTGACCGGTGATCATAATATAACATACATATGTGTTTAGTTATATGTGATAGAATGTAAGTAATATGTGACTTATTACTTGAAGTATGTGTTATTCTGTGCTACTATATGTATTACATGTAATCTGTATAATGGGTGAGTATTTTGATTACTCACTAAGCCCTAGGCATATAGTTGCTACTTTATGTTTTAGTTGCAGGTCCTTCAGGTCGAAGGGCAAGGAGTTGACACGATTGAGATATATGGGCATTGTCGGAGATGCATGACATCTAGTTTATCTACTCTATGTTATGATATGGTCTTCAAAACACGACTTAACTTTCACATTTTACTACAATTATGTTGATGTAACGTGAAAAGATAATCTGATGAATTATTAATGGTTATGAATAGAACTTTTTAATAAAACCTACACTATGATTTCGAAAAAAAAAATTAGGATTGATATTTTGGATGTTACAGATTACCACAAAACTATTCTTGTATGTATAATTTTTGAACCTACAAATTACATTCAAGTATGATGTGCATATTTAAAGAACTCTGAGGCATAGATAACACACATAAAAAAGATGTCATATTGATTGTAAGTTCTGTTTTGTTTAGACATAAACTAATACTAAATCCAATCATTATTAATTACATTTATGTTTAAATTTTTTCGTCATGTTTTATTTTAGTTTTATAAATTTGTTTCATTTTAGGATTGTTAATATTTGAATATAATATTTTATTATTTATTTAAGTATATTATCTCAATTTTTGTTACTGAAATGATAGTTTCATTAAATACTTGAAGGTTTATAAAAGATAAATATGATATTTTAAATATAGAATTATAATAAAAACATGATGGTCGATTGATAAAAATTATGACTATAATTTTTTTTTTAAATGGTATCGGACAAATATAATATTTTTAGAAGTTATTTTGAAATTTATTTAGAAATTCACCACAAAATAAAATAAAACTGCCATGTCTCTATGCAACCAGGGTTAATATTCCAACAGGCTGCCTTAGATTCATTAAATTAAGTATTAATTATGAGCATGCCAAAAGGCCTCGACCTGCTATCCTACTCTTGACGGTAAAGACGTTTGCGTTTCCGATGAATGGAGTCTCTGTAATCTTTTATATAACGCCGATGAATCGAGGAACAGAACAATTCTTCGCCAGTCAACACTCAGGGACAACGACTGTCCACGCTCAGCTTCTTCGGCTCAGTGTGGGCCGTTCTCGTTTACTTTTCGCTCTCCTGTTACCTTCCCCGGCCGGTCGTTTTACGGTTGCGACCGGCGATTGCCTATACATACGAAAACGACGGCATTGTTTCTGCTTCTGGTTAGTGGAAGACTGTGCGGTTCTCCTTCTATGTTAATTTCTTTTCACTTTATTCAAAGTTTTTGTAAAATTTATTTTTGACTATATATCTAAAAATATTCGAAGCTGTAATGATTGTCAGAATACAGGGATAAGTTATGCCTTCATCTTTTCTGCAAATTAAGGTTAACATTTTGATCAATCTCTTGAAATTTAAAAATTCTAGCTTTTTTTGGACTTTTCACTTCGACCTATTGTTGATAATGCTTTCAATTCCTCGTTCTTTATATTTTCTAGATATCCAGTTTGCAAACGCAATTCCGTAGCTATTTTAAATCAAACTATTGTTGCACAATGCTTTAATTAATATAAATTTATGAAACTTGCTTGTTCTTATAATAATTGGTAGTCCACGAATGCATAGTGCTATCGTGTGGCTTGCAATAGGTACTTTGATGTTATTGATTTGAAAAGTCATATTGGTTCATTTGATATATTTGTTACAATATATTATTCTTTTGAAATGTGCTGAATACATTAATATATTTCATATGCATCTTTAAGATTTCATTTCTTTGTATATGCTAATGCTAATGCTATGATGTTTGTTAAATGAAAACCAAATGCACAAAATCCAAGATGTTCTCTAACCTGTTGCTGTCTTATTTTCTTTACCTTTTTTTGGAAATGTTGTTGCTAGAAATGGCAGAGTTTACTTCATCACAAGGTAGGCAAGGAAATTTATACAAAGAAAGGGCAGAACTTACTGTTTCAAAACCAAAGCAGCAATGGCAGGTGGAGGGACCGATTAGGAATTGGTTGGAGCTCCCATGTGATGTGATGGCTAATATTCTCTACAGAATTGGTGCTATTGATATACTTGAGAATGCTCAGAAAGTTTGCACTACTTGGCGTAAAATCTGCAAGGGATCCTGCCATGTGGAGGGTCATTCATATGAAGACAACTTTCGGACCAAATGGACCTGCATGGAAACTGTGTACGCATGCTGTTGATGGAAGTCAAGACCAGTTGGTTGATATCAGCATAGTTTATTTTGCCAATGATGAGCTTCTTCAATATGTTGCTCATCGGTATGTGAGCTTTAATTAGTAGGTGTTTTGTGCATTTGTGCTTATAATATTAAAAAGTTAAACTGTTCATGGGTTTTTACAATTTTTGTAATCTTTTAACAGGTCAAGTCAGCTCAAATGGCTTGAATTTGTAAGTCGCTATCGTGGTTTACCTTGGAACTGGACCCAAGCTTTGAGAAAATTTCCAATGTTGCAGGAACTTAATCTCTACAAAATTAAAATCTCAGAAGAAGCTATTGAAACTGCTGGCCATTGTTGCCCAATGCTAAAAACAGTGAAAGTGAATCAAGAAAGTTGTAAGTTTTTTCATGGAGGCACTGATGAGAAGTCCTTAATGTTCCGTAATGGAACAGCTAAAGCTATTGGAGAAAACTTACATGAGTTAAGGCACCTTGAACTCATTGGAAACAACATGACAAATATTGGGTTGCAGGCAATTCTAGATGGTTGTTGTCACCTTGAATCACTTGACTTGCGTCAGTGCTTGTACATTGATCTCAAGGGAGACATGGGGAAAAATGTTCAGAAAATGTTAAATGTCTAAAGCTACCTGAAGATTCTCTTGAAGGATGACTATACATTTATATAAATGATATTGATTGCATTATATGTTCTGATGATGATGATGATGATGATTATTTTTATTGAAGAATCGAGTTATCGACTTATCCTTTTGTTGGTAAGTTATCCTCAATTTTTTTCTTTGAATTTAATGTCAAAAATCAAGTCAAGCTTTTTCCATAAAATTTTATTCATTAATTGTAATTAGTTTCTTGAATGATTTTCATTAAACTCATAATAATTATTACATTTGAAGATAATAATTGCTGCTGATTTGTAGATTTTGAAGGTTTGGATTTTTCCCCAACACTTACTTTTTGGATGACCAGACAAGATAATGACAACACGGCCATCTCTATGCTAGCTGCACCTCTAAGTAGAGATGGATCATTTTGATTTCTATTCTCAAAGTTGTGTAAGGACTAAAGATGTTATCTTGATTTGTTGGTTTATGAAATATTTTTTGGGTTACTTGTATCTTAAATTATGCTTGAAAAACCTAATTACTCAATTGACGGGTATTTTTACGTGACATATATATGTTGAAGTGCTGATGTTTGTTTTTGTTTATGTTAACATGTTTACTATATTAACACGATTAACCTGACCATCAAAATGCTAAAAACAATAATTGCAGTGAACAAATTTATTTCATAGAATATTTTCAAAATTATCTAGGTTTTGCAAACAGCTTGAATTAGAAAAGGTTGTACGTAATATGAAATGATCATAAATTTTTTTTGACTTGTAACAACTAGGGACTGTGATGATTTTCAGGGCTGTTTAGTTTATTTATTTTGAATGGCAAGACAAATTAAATACATTGAAAATAAAATGAAAAAAAGCAAACATTACTAAACATCACAGGCCAAAAGATAAGAGGTAGTTTAGACTATTGAGCAAAACTCTTGCAAATGTTTTGGGGCTCACCAAAACAGTATCATTGCAATCGAGTAAAACCTTTAAAACCTTGATTTTGCACCAAATGGTTGAATATTCTAGATAAATCTCCAAAACAAAGCTGCTGTTTTTCCAAGCAGCACCAATGCCTTTCTTGGGAGCTATTAATAGCAATGTACTTTATGATGAGAGTTATAACTATCTACCAAGCTGGTAGTTCTTCTTATTTGTTAAACCTTCATCTGGGGAAAATATTGGAGCATCATCTGTATGTGATGCAATCTGATGTATAATCCATATGTTCTCGAGCTTTGACCTTCAACAAAAACGAACACTAATTCAAACTAAGGCACTAATGCACTGATGCAGCTTTAAGATGTTGTAGCATTACTCGTAACTTCTAAAGCAACAAACTTTATCATCGAAACCAGATTTGACTGAACAAGAATTTCAAAAGTGTATTAGTTTATTTGTAATCAGGACGGAGTTTAAAAAAAGTATTTTATTTAGTTTATGCGGTAAGAAAACATGATAAGCTGATAAGATATTTGGTTTTTGACAAATTGAGCTTATACATATAAAATGATAAGGAAAAGGACATATTTATTTATTATTCATGTAAAGCACAAATCAAAACTAAAAAATAATAATGGAGCTTGGACGTATTTGTATATTTCTCGAACTTTAATATTGGCTTGAATGGTCGAAATATTTGTGAATATAATGATGTGATATTAAATTGGATAATAATAACAATAAAGGGAATTGACGGATAGCTTTCATTTCTGTCAAACCTTGGAAGGGAGGATAGCATAGGAAGGATAGAAAGAATGATAACTTTCTCTCTCATTGGAAGGATAGCTTTATGGCAGGGAATGATACTTTTATAGAAGGGTAGGATAGTTTCTCTTTCCTCGATAGCTTTTCTCATAATAAACAATTATAGGATACAATTGTTTAAAGCATCTTCAGAATTGTTTGTGAGGAAAAACAAGTGGTAAATGTCCTTGTCTTTATCGGTTTAATAGAAATGGTAGACATGTTCGGGTTTTAAGGGATGTGTAAGATTTCTCTTAGATTACTTTTATTATTATATTAGACCTATTAGGCTATAAATATGAAATGTGGTCGGCTATTTATTGTAAGTCAAGTCAAGTTGTAACCGTCTGTTCCTTTAAATAAAGGGAAAATGATAAATATGCCCTACGAACTTTCTTGGGTTTACCCGTTGAGTCCCTAATGTTTTTGTTGGGCTTTATGGGTCCCTAAACTAGGATATGACCTGCTCTTTTAGTCTCTGTCAACATATAATAGTCGGTTCAGTGACCTTTTAGATCAAAAAAATTCACTTTGTGCCCCTATAAAGCCAAAAAAATAAGTTCGGTGACCTTCTAGACCAAAAAAACTCAATTCGTGCCCTCCCAAGAAATCGATCGATGCTCTTCTTTCCGTCTTCACCCTCGATCGTCACACACACTCACCGAAGATCACAACCCGCTTCCCATTCTAATCGATTCTCGATCACAACCCCCTTCCACTCGTTTCTTTCATTTGACTGAACAAGAATTTCAAAAGTGTATTAGTTTATTTGTAATCAGAACGGAGTTTAAAAAAAGTATTTTATTTAGTTTATGCGGTAAGAAAACATGATAAGCTGATAAGATATTTGGTTTTTGACAAATTGAGCTTATACATATAAAATGATAAGGAAAAGGACATATTTATTTATTATTCATGTAAAGCACAAATCAAAACTAAAAAATAATAATGGAGCTTGGACGTATTTGTATATTTCTCGAACTTTAATATTGGCTTGAATGTTCGAAATATTTGTGAATACAATGATGTGATATTAAACTGGATAATAATAACAATAAAGGGAATTGACAGATAGCTTTCATTTCTGTCAAACCTTGGAAGGGAAGGATAGAAGGAATGATAGTTTTCTTTCTCATGGGAAGGATAGCTTTATGGAAGGGAATGATATTTTTATAGAAGGGTAGGATAGTTTCTCTAACCTGGATAGCTTTTCTCATAATAAACAATTTCAGGGCACAATTGTTTAAAGTATCTTCTGAATTGTTTGTCAGGAAAAACAAGTGGTAAATGTCATTGTCTTTATCCGTTTAATAGAAATGGTAGACATGTTCAGGTTTTAAGGGATATGTAAGATTTTTCTTAGATTACTTTATTATTATATTAGTCTTGTTAGGCTATAAATATGAAATGTGGTCGGCTTTTTATTGTAAGTCAAGTCAAGTTGTAACCGTCTGCTCCTTTAATAAAAGACTTAAGCTTTTAACCATATAATACTTGACCTTATTTTCTCTTTTGTCTCTGTACAATTTTTATTAGCCCATTATGTGAACGATAACTTACCTTTAATATTGCATACAATTAGATCAATTAAATTCCAGCAATTGGTAGATTTGATTCTTTGATACATTATAAATATGCTTATAACCCTTTTATATTTTTATGGTTTTACCAAGTCTAAAGGTAATGTAGCATTACAAAACCAAGCTGATTACACAAATCAAGTGACTAATAACCATCATCCAATATGTGTATAACATACTGCATTTATGGATGTTTGAAAGATAAACTAATATCTGATTTATCTAACAAACCAGTTTATGTTTCACTAAAAATAAAAATTATGTATTCTTTCTGTCCGACGAAAATCAATTCCCATAATTATTAATAAAATGCCTAACATGTATTCTTTGTTGATAATCAACAATTTCCTACTTCCCACCCGGTACAAGTCACAATGAAATTTTCACTAGAACTCATACTTTTTTAGTCAAAATGTACGAAATTTAACTGAAAAAACACTAAAGTTACGGTCAATAGAGCTCATACTGTGTATTTTATATAAATTTTAGTTAAATTGTACGAAATCATTATCAAAATGTAGAAAATTACAGGTATATATGTAAGAGCAAATAGTAGGTGGCTCTATGCCATCTTCAGATTTAACTATTCAACAGCTTGATTTTTTTATACATATACATTATTGGGCTAAAACTGGTTCAAACTTGCAACTCACCTACTAAAATCGTTGGTGGAAGGGTGAAATGGTAGAAGACCTTCATCATTTTTTATTTTGATTATTTTGATTAGGGATGAGCAGTTTGTACCAAATTCTGATCATGTACAGGTACCGTACTGAACCGTACCAAATTTAAAAATATGGGAAGGTATTCGGTAGTCTAAAATCACGAGATTTGGGATTCGGTACCATCGATACTGTACCGGTAACGTTAATTCGGTACGGTACTCGAGATTGAATTTCGATCAAATTCGTTATTCAAGAAATCGGGAGTGGTATAGGTTTCATCTCATGCGGGTGTTGTTTGTATTTAGTTGTTACTTTATCTGTTTTTGTATTGATTGGTATTGTTCATGTCATTTAAGTTTATATTTGTTAATTTATTTGTAGGTTATCATGGATCGAATCCGTGAAGAGATGAAGGAAGTACTTAAGTCGGAACATGAAGAAATGAAGCAAGAGCTTTTGGCCGAACGTGCAGAAATGGAGGCACAAAAACAAGAAATTACGAAGATGTAAGAAGAAATACTAAAGCTCGCCCAAGGAAATAACCCTAATTATACGTTGGTACTTTTAACTTTTCTGACTTGATTTCGAGACTTTGAAATCGAGTATGAAGATTTATTTTGGTAGTCGAATTTTAATGTTTTGAAATCAAATATTAATGTTCATTTGGTAGTCGAATTTATTGTTTTGAAATCGAATATGAATGTCTTATTTAGATTTGTAACATAAAATTTGATTTTGATTATGGAATAATGACAAATAATCATATAAACAATTTAGCGACGGATCAAAACAGTGCCACGAACTTTTTGCGGCATAATATTTGGTCCTTAAACTGTCGTTAGCGACGGATTTGCGACAGACATTAGTTTTTTCACGAACATTTTGCGACAAGATATCTAACAAAAAATTTCCGTACTTGATTTTTCGCTAACGCTCAGCGACAAAGGTTTTATTGGCCGGATTATTCTGTCGCTAATCGGTCGCTCAAGGTCTTTAGCGACAGATTTCTGACGTATATTTTCGTCGCTGTGTATTTCTAGTAGTGATATGAGATGTGGTCAGCCATTAATTGTAAGTTAATTCAAGTTGTAATACCTTGAAATAAAAGATCTAAGCTTTTAATCGTGTAATACTTGGTCTTATTAGCCCATACTGTGAACGATAATTTGCCTTTTAGTATTGCATACAATTAGATCAATTAAATTCCTATAATTGATAGATTGATTCTTTGATACATTATAAATATGATTATAACATTTTCATTTTTACGGTTTCTACCAAGTCTAAGGGTAATGCAGCATTACAAAACCAAGTTGATTATCAAGTGACTACTCACCATCATCCAATATGTCTATAACTAACAAACTAGGTTTATGTTTTACCAAATATAAAAATTATCTATTGTTTATATCTACGAAAAGTCAATTTCCATAATTATTAATGAAATGTCTAACATATCTTCGTTGATAATCAACAATTTCCTACTTCTCATCCGGTGGAAGTCACAACGAAATATTCATTAGAACTCATACTTTTTTAGTCAAAATGTACCAAATTTAACTGAAAAACACTAAAATTACGGTCAATAGAACATATATTGTGTA